GATGCCTTAAAGTTAAAAAGCCCTAGCTGAAGCAAGGTTCATTGTTACATGATGGGATCTCTTCATCTAATTAGTCCAATGTTTTTTTTTTTTTTGTGGGGGGGGGGGGAACATCAGTTTAAAAGTCTCAGAAAATATTTGGCTAAGATCCTATAATGTTTAACGTCCTCCTAACCATTGTAGTAGAGAAAGTTTTAAAAATGTCCTGCTTTTCTGAAACATATCTGCATTTAAAAGTAGAATTAACTGCTGTAGTTGGTTTTCCTAAATCAAGAGCTCCCTGTTTGGAGAAGCAGGCTGGGCTGCAGATAGGTGAGCCAAGGTAACACTTACTTAAAACAGAAAGAGAAGAGAACACATCTAAAAGCAACTCAAAGGCAAACAAGTCCAGCAATATTTCACTATATACATTTAGATCCCAAACTTCAGGAAAAAAAAAAACTCATTAGATCATACTAAGTAGAGCAGAATTAGCCTGAATGCAAAACCCGTATTTGAATTTTAGGATCTGTACGTGAGCACTAGGTCTCTTGGCAGACATCCAGATTTTTTCCTCAATACACAAACTAAAGAACTTTCAATTTAAAAGGTGTCACAAAACAAAAAAAGAAAAAAAGAGAAACAGAAGCAGAAAGGGGGATTTCAACTGTGGAAGTTTATTTTAAGAAGTAGTTTATTCCTTCAAGTCATTTTATTGCTGTTTTTAAACTAAACACTGCAACGCTGTAGATTAATTGATCCAAAAGTATGTTGGTTGAGTCCAGAAACCTTTGATAGACCAAATGATTACAGATTTTAACTTATAACACATCAAGCACCACGTGTCAATAGTTCTTACCCCCATACAACTTTTTCCATGTGCTGTCTTATTTTTCATTTTTATTAGGATTTTATGGTAAATAACTACACAGCATAAATGTGAAGTTGCTACAGTATTTTTAAGAGTTTACACATTTACTGCTGTTCAACATATAGGATATGTTTATAATAGTTATAGAATAGCTCAGTAACCTGACCATCTTCCCTTTCTCTGCTGAGAAAGGTATCCCAGCAGCATGATAGTGTCAATGCCATGTTTTACCCTGGGAGTGGTGTTTTCTGGGAGGTGCACCACAAAATATCAGCTCTGAGAGCTGTACTGGATAGGAAGAACCGGCTTCCCACTTTTTTGCTTTAAATGCTCAATTTTCCCCTCAGTAGTTCTGTCCCGTTCACATCATTTGTTTGTGACTGACAGCATTACTGACTTGTGGCTAATCAGATCTGAGAATATGAGATCATACACCTTTTTACCAGGTGGAGTTTGCTTCTATTTTATTTGCTTTTGTGTTTAAAAAAAAAAAGTTCAAAGATGGAATAAAATGTTACAAAAAAAAAAAAAAAAATAGATAAAATTAGGCAAGTATATGGCTTATAATCAAACAATAAATGCAAAATGATTTAATAACATTAGAACCAATCATATTGGCCAACATGGATAACAAATACAGGGCCATCTGGGAACCAAAAGAGCCGGCTCTTCTTTGGGAGCCGAGCCAAAAACCATCCCATCCCTAATCCCTTGTAACTTCTCAAGAATTATGATGATCTTTACGTTGAGATTGAACTGCATATTTACCAATTATATTCATTTAGTAGTTGACAATCTTAAGGTGATTGATTATCTTGGATTTTACTGAAAATAATTGTAAAGTAATTTATGCTTAATACTAGCGATTTTTAAATAAAATCCACTTTTTGAGCCAGAAAACACTTAAAATCAGCACGCCTTTTTCCGGGAGTTATTAATGATGAGGAAACCAGACATTTTGCATTGATTATAAAATAATGTTAAACAGCTACTGCAGCTTTATGTAATCAGGGAGACACATTGCCAGGCTCAGAGGTTGTACATATTCACTAAAACTCTGTTGCACAAGTCATAAGGCCTGATATGCGTTAATATTACACATTTGTTCACAAGTTCATCATCATTGTCAGCACTGACTGTGCTTATGTGGGTGCGTGTCAGTGTATGCCTATGATTTAGAAAAACGTCCTGCTACTTTACACTAGAGCCTGTGTTTTTTGCTGACTGAGGTCAGATGTGTAAATGGGAAAAAAAAATTAAATACAGGTTAATTATGTGGAGTGGGACCTTAGTCTCTATCTGACTCCAGTCTCCTCCTGTTGAAGTCATAGTTCAACCTTTGAAGTCCCCCAAATGTCGAAATTCTGCAAGCCACACTAATCCGGCTTTCTGGGGGCATATAGATGGAGCAGATGAGAGGAAGGTCAAGAGTGGAAATGATGTCTTAACCTTTAAATTTGCATGTACTTTCTGTTTGCTCATATACATTTGACATGTAGATCTTCACTGCTTTAAATATTAGCAGGACAAACAGCGCCAAAATGAATTTTTACTCTGAAACAACCATATCTGTAAATGGTAAAAAAAAATGACTCACTCAGAAAACTGAATGCTTTAGTGCTTTACCATTTAAGAATAATTAACCAAACTAGTTAATCAAGGAAACACACATAAAACAGCACTAATGACAAACACAGAAGAAGATAAGGTAATGTTAGGCCACAAGAACACGAAAACCTCAAGCAAACATCCAAGCTAAATCCTAAAGGATGTTAACGACTACGAGAGAAATCAGATTAGTTCCTTATTGTAGAAATCAGTGATTAGATAAGATAGAGCTAAAAAGGAAATTACGACTGAAAACTTTAAGGTTGTGAGCAGGAAGGATTCAGCAATGGCTACAGCAGCAGACTGGCAACACCATGATAAAGCAAAGACTGAGAGTTTAACCAGCATGCATGTTATTCACCGACAGACCAAAGACCCAAAGGAATGACAAAACAATAGCAGTTGCAACTTATTCAAGGAGGATTCATGGATAAATAATAGTAAACAGATTTAATGAAATTAACTTCCTAAAGCAGTCCAATTATTTTCACACCCTGTTTAGTCGGACTTCAAGATCAAATTGAAGCTGCATAATTCAGTAAAATATGGGAACATGTAAGGAATTATAGATCAACTGTTGGTTTGACAGCATTAGAACAAAGCACTTCAATTCTAAATGGAAATTTATTTTGAATAATTGACATTAACAGCTGTAGTCATATTTTGGCACAAATTCAAGATAAGCTCCTTTGGCCTATCTTTAACTGCTACTCTCCTATCATCCTTTTATTGGATTACATATCTTTCATGCTATTTCTGCAGAAACAAATGACCTTGTTGATAGTAAAAAATGATAGTTGGTAAAGATCAATAACATAGCCACAGTCGTATTAGAGATCACTAAGTGCACTGTCTAAAGTTGGACAAACAACATTCAGTATAGGGCTAAAACAATTAATCAGATTAATATTGATTAACTGAATATTGAAACAATCATCACCTAATTTGTTACTTGAATCATTCAGGAAGCCTAGTACACAGACTATAAAACATGCCCATTGTCTAAGAGAATAAACTATTTACAGCAGTAAAAAGGACAAAAGCCAACAAATATTAACTATGAACATAGAATATCTACAAATTTTCCAGTAAAGATTAAGTTGTTTGCATTTATAATTACATGTATATATATTCTTATATATATATATGTTTTGAGTTTTGCAATAAATCTAAATGGGTTAGGGTTATAAGGGAACAATAAAGTTTTTTTTCCCATAGTCTATTGGCTTGTTTTTTAGAAATATACTATAAACATGTCTTTTTAGATAAAACGACTAATCGAAAAGATTATTGATAGGTAAACACCTAATTCAGTATTTACCTTAATCATAACTCATATCCACCTCTAAGATAAAACCTGTATGATCTTTAATTTAACAACAAAAAATGGCTTTTTACTTGACAGAATGTTCATATTGAATGCTCTGCTCGCCTCATAAAATATCAGAGCTTTGTATCATTACACAGGTAAGTATGGCCAAAATAATGTCTTTAAGTAATGAAATGACTTTTTCAAATATAATACCCTAAGAGAAGAAGAACTTCATCAAAGAAAAGTACAAAAATCTTAATGCATGTAAAGTTGCTTTTATAAAAACAAGTGTTGGTAGCGGCCCTGCGATGGACTGGCGACCTGTCCAGGGTGGACCCCGCCTCTCGTCAGTAGACAGCTGGAGATAGGCACCAGCACCCCTCGCAACCCCGCTTGGGATAAAGCGGGATGGAAAATGGATGGATGGATGGATGGATGGATGGATGGATGGATGGATGGATGGATGGATGGATGGATGGATGGATGGATGGATGGATGGATGGATGGATGGATGGATGGATGGATGGATGGATGAAAATGATTGTTGTCACATCCGCTTAATAGTACTGGAAGTTCTGAACTGAATTAAAAAGCAGGAAAATAGGCTACAGGTACAGTATATAGAAACATAGGTGCTGAACTACTGAGGTTACATTCTGCTCATCAAACAATGTTTTAGTCATAAAGGTTCAGATAAAAAAGGCCATTTTAAAGATAGTTGTCCATAAAAACTTTCATAATGTCTCATAAACTTTGGATCTTGATTTCATTCAGCTTTCTTTTGACTCCAGTTCAGTTAGGTAAAGTTTTACTGTTGATTTTAACTTAGTCAGCAATTATTGCAGCAGAGAGACGAGAGAGTCCATCAGCAGAGGCTAGAGTGAAATTAGGTTGGGGTTAGAGATAAAGCAAGTAATTTCTCACCCAAATACACTTCACACATCTGATTTTTAACCTCTCACACAAAAAGACCTCATTTTAGAAAGTGGAACAATCTGGAATCAAAGTGATATAATGTCCAAAATGTTATATCTCTGTATGTCTTTATGGAGTTTTTCTCTTTTGTCTTTTTCAATGATCAGACATGATTAATTATTAGATATATGTGGTGATGAAATATATGCTTTTGTTTACTATAGTTTTTATTTATCCATGAACCCATCCACATATTAATCACTCCAAGAGTGATTAATCTCACCAGGTGTTATAAATATAATTAGAATGACGTACCTTTGAGGCCAAACTTGGAATTCCCTCCAAATTTGAGGATAACCAGCATCAGCAAGAAACCAGTAAAGGCTACAGCAGCAATCCCCACTACTACGTATACCTGCACAATGACAAAACAGAGTTGTGTATTCATGCATTTATTATAGAAACCAGCAAACAGCCACACTAAGCAAAGTTCAGGCACAAGGAAAGAAAGAGAATAATAGATGTTTTATATTGCTGGCAGTGAATCAAAAATAATGAGCTGGGTTTTTCTAGACATATCTAACTTTAAAAAGCAGGTATTTAAGATTAAGGAGAGGAGATCCAAATAAAATGAACTTACAGCAACTCTGTCCTCAGGTGGGTCTTGAGGAGGAGTCTCTGTTGATTCAGAAATAAAAGTTTAAAAAAACAGAATCAAAAAGGAAGCTGTGACAAATTATCACTTTATTTCAGACTTTTATTAATGGAAAATAATACGAAAGGGTGTGAATGAGTTTAGTAGTTTAACGTCTATATGGGCGATGAAATGATCTACACTTTGACATCTATAGGAATTTATGGCAAGGCTCCTAATTCTTTAAATCTGGATTAGACATAAGCAAATAAAGAACTTGCTCATTTTTTAGAACAGATCTCAGGAGCTGAAACTGTCTTTATTACTACATCACTTCTTAAAACATTTCTAAAATAATTGGAGCCCTAAGCTGTGACACTCTTAAATAATTCAAAGTTTAAACCATATATTGATTTTGCCATTGAAATTACTTTGATTTCTGTACAAAATACATAAATTATTCTCTCCTGCTTGTGGACAAATTAAAATTATGGAGTCTACATTTTTTGACCATTTTAAGCTTTTAATACATGGTAAGTACTAAAAAAGGTTAAAAACAAACCAAAAACAAATACATAGTAAGCTATGAAGATGTAATTCTAAGAATCAGAAATTTGAAAACCTGATCCCTAATTTTTTTGTAGACAAAGGAGCATCATCATAGAGCCTTCTTACCAGTAGCTGTCAGACATTAAACCATTAATTTACGTTCCTGCCCATACATCCCTATTTACAGAAATATGTGTGTAGTTTACATCTATGCTTTTGTTTGAATATTAACTCATTTCTAGAAAACATGCTGTCATTTTTTTAAGTACAAAAAATACAAGCACATTTGTAAAGTTTTTTCAGTCGCACCTAAAAGAATATCTTCTTTTTATTTATTTTTTTATGTTTTAGTGTATGCATCCATTTGCATCTCACTTTTGGTACACTTTTTTCAAGAAAAAAAACAAAAACAGGATCACTCTCTAATTATGCTTTAATATATATAGCTCTCTTTGTTACCCACATGGGAACTCTTTCTGCCATTTGTATGAAAGTGTTACATGAAAACTTGACAGCTTAGCAAAGGTTAATTGTAAGCTTGGCAGTCAGTATGCAATTGTGTTTGTAAGCCAGAGTAAACAAATAAAGGGTATACCTGAGGTTACATCTGCTGGCAGGAGGACGTGTCAAAGAAAAAGACACATAGAGACAATTAGGTCTAACAGCAAAACAGGTTTTAGTTAGAAATATTTTAACATGCAGAACTTAGAAGGTAATCTCATGAACCACAGCGCACAAACCAACAAACAACACACACTGAACATGCACAGTGTTTTAAAGAAAATACGAGACAATATCAAGGAGACAGCAAAAAAAATGTGTAGGTATATAACGCACCCTCAGGACCTTAAAGGAAAAAGAACAAGAGAGAGACAGATTTCTAAAACTAAATTTCAATCAACTGATGGGGACGATGTGAAACATAATCTAAAAACAAGGACAAAATGAACAGACAGTGAATAGGTTTTTACACTTTTTATTTGAGAGAAATAAAACCTATTACTCACCATAGTATGAAGGTTCTGAAGGACCTACTTATTGGGAGAACAAAGAAAAGAATATCTTGGTTAACTCTTTTACATTTTGTCCTGTAGTTCAAGCAAGACTAAGGTAAATTTCAATGTTGTATTCTCACCATCTGGCTGGAGCATAAAGTGAGCATTGATCTCCTTTTTGTCTTTGCCAAAATCATTTTCAACTATCAGGGTGTAGAGCCCGTTGTTGAGGTGTGTGGGGCTGTCCAGCTGCAAGCAGCCGTGGTATTCTCTCTCTGTGATGTCATGGATCATCGTCACAATGTACTGCCCTTCTGTAATTTCTTTATGGTTCAGATACCACCGGAACGTAGGTTTTGGGTTTGCTGGAAAACATGATAGGAATGGTATAAAATGCCCATTTATTATGACAAAGAAATACTTATTCAGATTATATCCAAATGAAACTAAATGGGTTTTGTGAGATTTTCTTACATACCTGCTACGCTGAAGGGGATGCACCAGTGATGGTCTGGGATAGCGTCACTCAGCTTTGTGATTATCGGTTTAACTGAGAGTATAGAGTTAAAAGAAGAGATATTTAAGAGCAAAACCAAAATTAAAAGAAGCAACTACCATTTCAAGTCATGAATTAAAAATATAAAAATAAATCCTCTCAAGCCTTTGACTCTGTTTTGAAATCTGCTCCTGTTCTAATTTGAATTTTGGACAGCTTGACAGATAGTGAACGTACAAAGTATGTCCAGCACTAAAGAGGACTCCCTCCCTCCAACAATATTTTCAGCCGTGCAGCTGATCTTCTTGCTATGGTCCATTGATGTCAGGTTAGAGAGCCGCATCACCGAAACCTGGCCAGATGTCTCAATCTGCAAGAGAAAGAAGATTTTTTAAACCTTATATTTTTAAGTTTAAAAAAAAATTTAAACAAAATAAAAATCTTCTTTACGACTGTACCCTTTGTTAATAACTTGGAGTATACATTTTTTTGTAAATACAAGGCAATAAATTTAGACTAAAGCTTTAACAGAACCCTTTCTATTGATAAAACTAAGAGACATAATAGCTAATTGCATGGAGGCACTGCTTTAGTAATTTGATTTTGCAACAAGTAGATACTGGTTCTAAATCTTAGCCCTGAAGTTTGCATGTTCTTCATTTCCATTCCTGAGCTCCATCCAGGTATTGTGTCTTTCTTCCTCAGACCAAAATCATAGCTGTAACTTTTTTAAGTCAATCTACCCTGTAATGTGGTTTATTCTGCATGTCTGTAATGCACTGGTGAGCTATCCAGAAAATAACTTTCCTCTACCAATTGCATTGCAGCTTATAATTAAATAAAATCCACCTGTGTCTAATTCCACCAATTTATCAATCCACATGCACTGTGGATATCTCAAAGGTTGGATACAGAAGATCAGGGAACAAATAGCAGTCCAGAAAACATAGATGAAGGGCAGAAGAATGTAGGGAAGTTTAACTTAGAATAGGATTTTAAAACTTTATTCCAACCTTTGAGCATCTCACAGAACACAATAAAAACATTTTCATCTATAAAAATATTTCTGTGTGACAGAAAACTAAGATGCAGATCAACATGGATCCATCGCCAAAGTAATACATTAAAAGTAGCTGTATCATGCTTTGGGACAACAGAGCTGGTAATGCCTGATGTAAAAATGGATGGAGCAACTCTAAATACTGGGCATAACTACAACAAAACCCATTGGAGGCTGCAAGATACTCACCTGGAGAGACAACCCCCGTTGGACAGGAAACATATTTATGCATTAGGATGGATAAATCAATGTCTCAATTTAAATCCAAGTTAAAATTAACTTGAAAACTGTTGTTCCAATTTTTTCTTAAATCAGATCTTTCACTTTTTATAAAAGCAACATTGGAAGGATAAAATCCCCCAAAATATTGTAGCTGCTATATTGGGGAAAGGCAGCTTCTGTAAATGGTATATGGACCAGTTTTATATATTTTTATTTACAGCCTAATATTCTTTTTTTTTTTCAGATTCTGAGATTCTTTTTTTTTTTTTTGTGCTTGTCTTTTATAGAAAAAAATTCACACAATGATAAAAGTGGAAACTATGGAATATTAAATCTGTAATAATCTTGCATAATTTCTTAGATTAAAATTTCCTAATATTTTGTTGTATATGTGTTCTTTATTGCTTACGTCGCAGTTAGTATCCAGTGACATATTCCAGATTAGTTCAGGCGAAGGCATGCCAGAGGTTGTACAGAACAGCTCCACATTTTCCCCCTCCCTGGCAGTCACTGCGGGTGGGCTCAGCGTTGCCATCGGAACCTCTACATACAAAAAAAGAGCAGGAAAGAACAGGAGAAAGAGAGGGGAGACGCAGGAGGAGTAGAAAGAAGAAAAGTTAGGATTCTTGACCAACTCTTGTTGGTCCAATTAAAACACAGGACACGTAATTTACCAACAATGAACGTGCAGGAGCAGCCAAACACACACCTAGCAGAGAGTAAAAAGAAAGATACACAGGGAAAAAAGTTCGAATTCAATCTCCCTGTCCCCTGACAGATGGTTACACCGATTACTATTGCATGTCCATAGCCGGCCAGGAACTAAATTGATTGGACACAGTCTGAAGCCTCTGTCAAAGCAAAGACACTGGTGACTCTGTGTTTGTCTCGAGCTTTGACCAGGAGATGACCTGGGTATAACCAATCAGCCTCAATAAGGACCTTGCCACCATTGTCCACATGTATAAACTCTGTGGGTAGAGAAAAGAAGAACACAGAGAGGAGAGTGGAGAAATAGGCATTGACAGATGCTTGAGATAAAACTAGAAAGATTTCTTATCAGCTCCAACCCGTCAACCTCTTCTATCCGACAGCAAAGCGCTTATCTGAAGGGAAGCCCACTCAATCACCATGAGATACTATAAAAACCAGTCATGTTGCCAGTGGCAGGCCTGTATCAGATTGAACTATATTAACAGCCTCTCAATGAATCAGCTTTCTACAGCCACTGCAACGTTCTGCAGGTTACATTACGGATATGGATAAATCCCTGACCACACCAAGTGGAGATGAGGAACAGTTTAAAGTAATTAGCTGAACAAGCTTCATGTGAAGCAGTCTTTTCTGTTCACTGTACTGTTCAGCTTGCACACAATAATCAACCATACATGGAAATTCTTGCAGAAACAGAGAAAACAATATAACATGCTTTTGCCTAATGTTATTGTTTCCAGAAGCAGCCAATAAGATGAAGCTATTGCATTGACATTTGAGTTGCTTGAATTGATACTATACCCCTTAAAAGAACACCATGGAGTGTGTTTGCTTCATTCTATAACATTTTAAAAACTAGATAAAGCTGTTGAGAATAATCAAATTTGATCATGCAAACATGACATTATTTTCTAAGCAATCACTGCGAATTAGTTAACTTTAGATCTATGAAATAAAAACAAAACGGAGGTAATAATCTTCAGACTAAAGAACATCTGCAGGAATAAAGGACTAATATCCAAGTAGGATCTAGAAAAACTTATCCCTTCATTTATCTTTTGTAGAATTGATTACTGCAACAGTGTAACAGGCCTACAAAGTGCATCAGACAGCTGCAGCTGATCAAAAATGCTGCTGCCATTGTTCTCACTAGTACTAAGAAAGTAGAGCACATCAGCCCGGTTCTGCAGTCCTTACACTGGCTCTCTGATTACATAACAGATTTGTTTGTTTGATTTTGTTGTATCAACCTCCCAGACAACACAGGTCTTCTAGCCCCAGTCTACTCTGTACACCCAGAACTAGAATCGAGGCAGGCAGGGGGAAGCACGAGGTGGCCATTGTCCGGTCTACCGTCACCGGGTCGGGTGCGGTCGCTCAGTCCCCCGCTGGCTTCCTGCGCCCGTCCAGCCCAAGAGCTCACGGCTCGGTTAGAGTGCCCAGTGTGTTTCTACTACATGCTGTTGCTATGATGCGTCTTTGCTCTGCAGCTTCACTTGTTGTAAACCAACCAATCAGTTCACAGCTCATCTAAATATTCATGATCATACCATCAAAGGAAGAAAACCCGTCGTTTCATTCTGAGGCTTATAAACAGGCTTGCATTAGGGCTCATAGAACAGCAAATATGCCATTTTCAGCCCAACCAATGTTACACACCCTATTCAGAGACCTTAAGGACCAACACCAAATACCCTATATAATCATTCTAGGACCCCTATAACATTTTATTGATCTCATCTTCACGAGGCAGAGAGTACTAATTTTCTTGCAGCTTATTGTACCACATCCTTAAATTTCAAACACAGGTGAAACAAGTACAAAAGAACTCGAAGAAAATGACATACATCCCAAAACACCTACAGTAAAAACAAAGCAAGATTTTATTTCAATTCTAATTATTCTATTTGTTTTGCAACAAACTCAAACTACTTTATGCACACATATTCAGTTTATACTCAAAAGCATATATTACTCTAAACAAAACATTCAAATTTAGTAGCACAGATTCCAATTTTATCCTCGTCTGAAATGGGGCCAAGTTTAATTTAGTTTTTACCATGTATTAAAGAAAGAAAATTATGAACTTGAGCCACAAATTTGTGACACACTATTGCTACATTGAAACACAGCGACAAAAGCATCACATTATGATGCGTTATTTTTTAAAAGTGTTCATAAGAGTTGATTGGAAGACGGATGAACGTAAGTTAGGGGGAAATCTGTTAGAGCTTGAAGCAGAGAGATACCCTCCAGCAGGACGACTCGACCACAAACATAAAGGCGGGGCCTTACTTGACCTTAGTTCCATCTGACTTTGTTTAATCTATTTTGAAAACAACAATAGTCAAAGGTTTTAATTGCTTAATATGGTTATCTGGTCATTTCAGATCCTCCCAACACTTGTAGCAGAGGTTCTTAGTTCATAGCTACATAAGATTGAAGAACAAATTTCTCTGTCCATCTGTGATATTCTAAGTTAAACATAAATGAAACAATCTAAATAAACAGCTTAAAGTCCTTGTATTTTTTTTTGCATGATTCATTTTCAAAAAGATGGATTCGTATTTTGGAACAATTTGTCATACTATTGTTTATTATAGTTATTAGGTATTGTTTTATAGTTATATTATAATGCTAATTCATTTTTGGACATAGCATAACTTACATTTTATTTGCTTTGATTCCTAAATTCTAATAAAAAGAGTGTGGATAGCTTTCCAAGGATGTACCAGGAGCATTAGAAATTCTAATTTTATTTTACATTTTTTTTTCAAAATGTAATGCTTCCTGCTTTAATGAATCTAAACCATTTTGTGTGTGTTTTCTAGTGGAATGCATTAAGTTAAAAAGCTTTTAGTTGTAAAAAAACAAAAAAAACAAAGGCTATGTACAAGGCACTTGCTACTTGTGTGATTCATTACCGGTAGTTGTAATTTGTGCATTTTAAACAATCTTGTTTTTTTTTTTTTCTCTGGCTTTTTTTTACAAGATTTCAAAGTTAGCTTGGGAGAATATGTTGTATTTTCTATATTCAAAGTGGCTTGCATTTTTTTCACTTATTGATCATTTATAGGAAGAGATGCCTATGGAACATGTATCTAATTTCTACAGCCACAAATGCTTTCTAGATCAATAATTTAAAATAACATGCAGTATCACACAAAAATGAGTACATACCTCACATTTTAAACCCATTTTTTTGTAAACAGTTTATTATAAATTTTCATGGGTAACTTTGACAGAATGTTGGCAGTAAAAATGTCAACAAACAAGTGCACCCTAGATGATGTCCAGATTGGGCTCAGTAAGCCATTTTTCCTCCTCAGTCTCATTCGATCTAAGTCCGTTAGTTAAGAAAAACATCCAGTGTGCTTTCATTTGAAACTTTTGCCACATAAAATTTCGGAGAAAAAAAACAAAACACCCTTCGAGTAGCAAACAGCAGACAAGCAGAAGATTTCTCATAGTGACTCAGCACTAAAGCTGTAAGTCTGTTGTTTGTCTTGTGTGTTAGAACACAATGAAACAGCTGGTGTTCTCTACGGTCTAAAATAGAGAAATGAAAAGTGCAACGAAAAGATTTTTAGATTTGAGATGATTTTCGATTTCTTTTTGGCATTCATATTGTGACCTGGAAAACTGATCATTAAACCAGTTAGGAGTTTGATGGCTTTTGTCTGTTTTTCATTATGTTTAATATATCTTTAAGACATTATTCTTTCTTGTTATCTTTAGATATTTACAATATTTCTGCAATTATAACAAAATATATTTACAAAAATGTGATAAGTTATATTTAAACATGTAAATTATGTTTACAGAAAGAAAGAGTTTTAACATTACTGCAATTTTGGTTATAATATACTGTATTAGGTTTTTTGAATCTTTTTAATAACAAAAAACTTTACAGTATTTCTTCAGATGTTGTAAATTTAACCCTTACTGCCCAGCCTTCTGCTTGGTTGTTTACCTTTATGTGTATCTGCATAATACTTTTTTTTTTTCTTGCTTTTGGAAAAAGTCAATATTTACACTGAGGAACAGTAAAGATAATTTCTACTTGAACTGCTTAAGCTATGAAACAGGACTGTTATGTTTCTTCATGCACTAGTTTTGTCCCATTCAAAATGATCTAACTGCCATAAACCTAATGATTTGAAAAGCTTTGACCAACTAAGCTTTTCAGTTGCTAAAGCTGCTCATAAATCGCTAAAAGCTACTCCAAGAATTTCTAACCTTATAATGAAAACAGGAGACCCGACTGTTTGAAGGACATTACAAAATAAAACCCTTTTTTTTTTACCTTTAACTGTTGCTATAAAACACTTATAGAAACATTTCAATAAATGTCCATCTTCTCTTTAGGTTGAAATTGGTTGTTGCATCTTATTTAGTTTTTGTTCTTATAGCTGTATAACTGACTCATCTTTGTCTATCAGAGTGACTCATCAAGTTTCTGTTTATAGAAAAACCCCACATGTGAATATCATCTCCTGCCACATACTCTAAGATGATGCCATCTGGCCTTGTTGGCTAATCTGTGCCACCATTTAAGGCTTGTTCTTATATGTGCCTAGATTGAAGATGTTTAGGGTCAAATTCCTCCCAGACAAATGGATGAAGTGACAGCTAGATAGACAAATGTAAAAAGAGACAGTTGAAGACAGGCAAACCTCTCTGGAGTGGTCTAGTAACTGGTCTGCTTTTATCTACGCATTAATAAAAAAAAAAGCTTTCCCTCCCACATATTCATATTTTTGCAGTTTTTTGACATCCTGAGCTACAAGACAAGTAGGCTTGGGTCCCCCAGCAGTCCTTGAACACAG